ACATAATTATTCAATATAAAAATAATGCAATTAAATTATTACGAAAGCTTTTTTAATATATATTAACGATTTGATTTTATTATATTCACCTTGAATATATATATAAGAATGCAGTTAATTATCTTCCTCTCTTTTTTTCCATTAGACGGAAATAATATTGTTGTGATTTTAAACATGTCAAGGAATGATGGAATTTGTATTCAAAATGTATGTGTCGATGTTTCCTTCCGAAAGAAATCAAGGGAATGTTTATTTATTCGCCATTGTTTTTGTTTGACATAAGAAACAATTTTATTCTTACGTGTTTATTAATATAAGCTTCCGTTCTTGGCTTTGTTCGTAGTAACCTGTATACTTTTTCTTCAGTTATACTTCTATAATTATTTGAATAGGTTCATTTTTAATATGCCTAAATAGAGCGTTCTGCTTTTTGAAATCATAGTTTATTTTTGACAGTTCCTGTTTAAATGTATGGAGGTCAATTTAGTTCTTTTATTACTCGATTTATATGGTAAATTAACCAACATATGTATATGTAAAAAATTGTAGTTTGTAGTTGAACTTTGATCTCGTGACATTTAAAATTTCTTAAACCAAAAAGTATGTAATATACAATACAAAATGGACATTTTGCTCATTATTAATAAATATGTTAAAATTAAATAGATTTCATTCTAATGAAATGGACATTTTGAATATGGCAATTCATTGAACAATACACAATTTTTTTTTAAACAGAAATAATCATAGATTTTCCTTGAAGTCTTCTGGTAATCCCCGTTACATTCTCTAAAGAGTTTTTTATATTCAGGGTTGTCAAGACGATATTATTAAATAACTTTGTAATGATATTTCCTTCATCTATAACTAATTTAAATACATAAATAACATAAAGAAATTCAATGAAAACAAATGAAATGAAAATTAATTTTGTCAAGACTTAATAGCAAAGTTTTTTAGCATGATCAAGGGCAGACGAGATGAAACATTTTTTTTTTTTGCTAAAAATATCCCTAAAATGTAAACATAAAAAACGCATTATTATCCGAAAAACTTAGTTTAAATTTTGTAATGCTTTTTTACCTATGTGGTGTACAGTTTTCTATTCGTTTTTTTCTTATTGTTTTGGAGATAATTACATTATATTCCCTAGTAACCACTTGATGACACTAGCCCATACGAGATTTAATCTCGCCCAGTTATATGGAGAAAAGGAAGCCCCGTAAAGAAATCCAATTTAAAATGAGGACAAACCCGCATTACAATATAAAACAGTTTGTATGAAATAATGCAAAACTTATAGCAAGTATGAATAATGAAGGAATTTTATTCCTTCTTAGATAAGAAATTAATTTGGTTTTTTTTTGTCCAGAACTCCAAATAGTTTTTATGTCACAGCGGAAATAGTAGGTGTTTAGTGCTTAGAGTAATATTTTTTTTTCTTCTTAGAATCGAAGGCGGAAAAGAAGTGTGACCAATTAGTTAGGACACAAATCTTTTAGTGTGAAGCAGGAAATTACGTAATTTTTTTTCCTACAATTAAATATTTTCGAGAGTGTCATAAACCCAATCATATGCATTTATTCTATGAATTAAATTTAAGGTATTTGTTATTGAACTTATAGTCTGGGCCACATAAGTTGCATAAACTTAAATGCCTCTAATTTTTGTACAATAAGTTTTCTAAAATATCGAGAAATGTGTATCGATCATTTGTTTGATAGAAAAGTAAATTTTCGCCGATTAAAATAACAAGCCTTATTTCGTCTTTATGAACATATATTAAGGTTTACATTTTAAAACGATTTAGAAACATTCGTCGAGTTTATAAATTATAGATGTTTCATTTTATTATTATGAAGACTATTTTCAAAATTCATGATGTAAACTTGTGCGTATAATTTATTTTTATTTTATCACAGTTTCAGTCTATTACTTGCAACTATCAAAATATACATCAACAACTTTGAGATATTCAGTTATATAAATTAAAACGCAAATTGACACAAGTTATAGACCAAATGGCGGGAAAGAGATTTTTATTTATTTTAGAAACCCGTTAAAACTGAAAAAAGAATAGCTAAAAATTATGCATTTTATGTCACTCCTGTAAGAAAGATTCAACTAGCCAGGAGTTTTAATAATCAACATAAATCCACTATTCTCGTTTTCTGCTGATTCTTTGTGCATAGTTAAAAAAATGATAATTTTTTGCCCATATTCTGACGATTCAAACTTACGGAATGGATTAATAGTAAAAATTATGTCACTACAAGTAGTCTTTTCACACGCGTAATATATACGCGCTTATAATTTGCGTTGTTTTATTATCAGATACTGTTTATCCATTAAAATTAAGTTAATAGCATTAAATATAAATAAATATTTCAAGGTACAAGACCTTATTTTAATCGCAATAAATATTTTTAAACAATTTATGCCCTTCAATAAATACGTCATGCCTGATATAAATCATGAAAAATATTGAGATGATTATTATTTAATAATTTTCGACGAAACAATGAACGATAAAATGTTCGTGAAGCAAAAAAATATAACTAAATATTAATTATCTAAATATAAATTTTATTTAATATTATCTAAAACAATGAATTTTTCTTAGTACTTTGTTTTTTATACATAATAGTTCGATTTAATTAGTTTTCAGTCAAAATAATTGGCGGGTAATATAAAACTAATGAGTTATAATTGTATCTGAGAACAGCCTAAGTAATTATTTTAATTAAATCCGGCCTTAACGACGATGGACGAGTGCCTTGGCCGCTTTACTCGATCTAACGTGAAAACTTCCTATTGTCTGTAAAGAACGATCTAGTTTAATAAAAATTTTACTTGAGACTCGAGTGTCGTCACGTTTGTTAAGTGAGAAAAAAATAAGTCTTATTTATAACAACAGTTATTCAATTCAACACTGAATAGACAAACGGAATGTTTTTTGATGTTAAGGTAAATTTTTTTATGATTTATATGTTAACATTTTCGTTTTATATCAGTGAGCATTATTTGAATGTAATTTGTAATTTACTGTAAGACTATACGACTATTAAAAAATGTAAGCAATGATCAATGTTTCTTGAAGTAGTAAGTAATATTAAGTACTTATCAGAAATACATATGTATATAGGTACAATTACTATAGAGTAAAATAGGTGATTAAACGTCCTCTGTGACATATAATGAAGGGTTCTTTCAATCAGATTACATGTTTTCAATTTTTTAAAGGAAGGTTTTGTTTTTATTTTTAAACGTTTCTACTTGAATGTGTTTAAATGTAACTCTTAATTACTGACCGGATAACACGATTTCTTCAAATTACACGCGTCGCTAGGTTACCTTTGTGAAACGAAAATATCATTGATACGATTTTTATTTACATATTATGAAGTATTTAAAATTATCCACAAATTTTCACTTTTACTTTATTATATTTAACGATATGCACAGTGAATCGTTTTCAAATCGATATAATAAAAATACGAGTAAATAAAAACTTAATACGTCTGACGAAGTCTGGAGTAATGTGACAATGATTTTTTTTATTTTAAGGACAATTTATTTCATTGATTTATTGATAATATATTTTGTTCATTCTTAAAATAGTATAAAAACAATATCCTAATAGATCGTTGAAGCGTTTCATTCTCAAGAATCCGTCTGGTGTAAGTCTGCTCATTGTTACATCATCCAATAACTTTGACGAATGGATTAGTTGAAAAATTTTTATTTTTACATTGCTGTAAAAGTTAGAACACAGCTGTCGAAATGAGTAGTTTTTCTTCAATGTACATCGTAATAGTTGTTTTTGTCGAAGCATATTTTTTGCTGCGTGTCTGGGTATTACGATGACGTCTTCTTTACGTGTTTATTTATAACTTACGCACGGAATGTATCTTCGTCCGTTATTACATTACAACGAAAATGAGAACTCATTTTACAACGACAATCGTATTTACTTAACTATAAATTATAATATTCATTGTAATTTTTGTATTAAAGTAGGAAGACATTATTGTATTGTGAAAAATCGTATAGGCTACTTATAAGGTTCAAATATAGGAAAAAAATTTTAACGTGTATTTCTATGACTTCAATAGAAAATCAATGGTAACAAAACAAGCCAAAACTATAACAAACAATAAACCTATATATAGAAGTGACCGTATTGAATTACCAATAATATATTAATATAAATTAACTAAATAACTGGATTCCTCATCTATTTATTTCGATTATTGAAACATGTTAGTAAAATTGTCAATAAGGACACTCACAACTGAACATGTAAAAGAATATTAAAATTTTTCGTATACATATTTTTATTTACGTAAAATTAACAAAGCTTTAAATAGACAAGTTGTTCTTACTCTTCTTTATTTGTGCTTCTACGTAAGTGGGTCTTAAATTTTCCAATAATATGTTCGCTACTTGTATAAAAATTAAACGTTTTACAATTTTTAACGGATGATTTCTAATTATTAAAGCTGGTTGGTTATTATTCTGAAATTAATTGCATTTTAATGATGATTTTAAGTTTTGCGACCTTGATTTGGAAGTTTCAGCACACATTTTGTCAATTCATTGTATAATTTTGGTAATGACTTGACAGAAATTTGAAAACTGTTCTGTAAAATCCCATGATTAATATTCATAAAATTTTTCAAACTACTTAAATATTATTAATTCAACGAAGTCACTTATGACGTTTTAAATGTATTTGTTTTATTTATAAAATAAAACCTGATATATATAAAGAAAATACAAATACGAAAACTTTGAACTCGGCGCTTGTAATAACTGGAACTAGGGTGACAATAAGTTTCGAGTCAACAAGAAATACTTTTTAATTTTAAGATACTACACTAGTTCTCTTATCTTTATGTTATTTGTTAATTATTTTAATCATAACATAAACATTCTAATTTACCATGAAAGGAAGTTTGATAAGTTGTTATTAAAAAATGACTAATTTTACAGGCGAGTTAGCCTGAAGCGGAGCATTGTTCCGTGTCGTTCAAGGCCGGCTGATGTAACTTTAGAGCCGATTGCACAGCGGTCAACGACCTTGTGCATACTATCGATAAGTGGTAGCTAACATCACTAGTGACCTCAATGGCGTCCACGTACGCCATGAGATTTACATGCAGCCGGTACCCTGAGGATATGCAAAATAAAGAAACATTATCGTTATTCTACATTATTACAACTGACAGCTGTCAATGTCATGCCGACATTGCGTTTTGAAATATCGACTGATTATAAGATTAATCAGCGTGCTGTATTACAGTGTTAACAATTTCCGATTACTGTATATGAAAAAAAATGTTTTATTACTTATTTCACTTAAATTGACTGTTATTTTTCATACCCGATTTTGAACATCATGGACCATTTATCAAAGACATATTATGACACTTAATCGGAAATACAAAGTAAATTAGCAGGAATTAAAAACAAACTACCTTCAAATCACCGAATTTTCCGATGAAATAATATTTTTTTCTAACACATTTGTCAAATCCGGCTTAAATTCAATGTACAAGGTGAATTAAGCCGGAAAAAAAAACCAACAATGAATACGTGAATAGACTGTCCTTAGCACTGGTAACAGTAATTGAAAGTGTTGAACTACTGATGTAATAAATTAACCTGTTGCAGCAGACGATATACAGATTAGTTAGGTCAATTGTACGAACGGAATGTCTTTAAACAGTTTTAGAAGCTCTAATAATTCCTTTGACCACATAAAGAATCTAAAACATACCAATTATCACTTCGCTGCTATAATTCCGACTCAATTTTAATGTTTCAAATATTTTTTTGTAGTTATTTCCGTGTTAATTTAGAAATATTTTGATAAAACCCAAAAACATGCAAGTAATCCTCTCATTATATTAATTAATATAGTATTTGTGTTTCCTTTTAATATTAATGTTTTTTTGGAAACTTATCCTTATTTAATGATCTTTGTGGTTATTTACAATATGAAATAGTTTAGAAGTAATCATCATTAAAGCAGTATGCTCAACAAATAAAAACTAATTTGTTATATTTTAATTTCCTCGTATATAATTTATATAGAAACAAAAACAATATTGAAACAAAACTTAATTAGATCTTACATTTTGTTCGTAATATTAGTGTTCAGGAATTTTATTTGTATTTAGATTTTTGATTAAGTCAAAAATTCATTAAAAGTTGCTTATGAACCGAGAATATAATTTTTATGATTCTTTGATTATATACATATACTAGAAGACCCGGCGAACTTCGTATCGCCCTATAATCAAGAAATATGTATCTGTTACGTTTTATTTGATATTTTATTTATATTTTTGGAGTTTACCTATTAAAGCCATAATTCTCCGTGTTTTGAAGTGCGACAGAATGATTGACATATTAGTTAGTTGTCAAATCTAATGTAAAAAAACGTTTGTATTAACAACTACTAATAAATTAAAAAAACATTGTCCAGCGGACAAAATTGTGAATCTAAACCATTCCCAGATCCCCTTGAACACACACAAAAAATTTCATCAAAATCGAACCAGTTTTTTGAGAGAAGTTCAGTGACATACACACTTATAGAAGAATTATATATATAAAGATAACGTTAATAATTTCAGCGTGAGATTGAAGATGTGATTCGTATTCAACTGATATCAACAGCTTACAGGTTCAATTTGACCCAAATTATTTATTTCTATTAATCTATTTTTCTCTTCATATATTATTTATAATCTCAAATCAGTGTTCGCCTAGTGGTTAAAAGGCCCACCTCTCATCCATGAGGGCGCGGGTTAGATCCTGGCAAGTACCAATTTGATTTTACCGAGTCATATGTACTTTCTAAGAGTATTTAGACATCACTGATTAATGCATTCCTAAAAGAGGGTTGATGTCAGGCAGGCGGCTGGTCGTAAAAACAATTAGCCAAAACTATTGACAATATGTAAGGCAGACCCTGGCTAAAGCTGGGAAATTGCCAGGAAAAGAAGATACTATTAAATAGTATCTTCTTTTATAATCTCATGTTCATATTCACAATAGTTTTTATTACTTTAAATTTCAACATGACGCGAGATAATATCAAATTCTGATAAGATATTAAATAAACTAAATAATGTTACAAAATAAAACAAATGTTATGTTTTTTTTATCGTCACTATCAAAAATTTTCTTTGTAGGTATAAAAGTGTTTTTGGAAGAAATTGAATTACAACTTAGAATAAACTTATTGTGAATGCTTATATGTAGAATTGTGATATAATCTTCTAGTAATTCTTGAGTATTTAAAAATAAACTCTTCGAAACTTGTTTGAACATTAAAAGGCTGCTCATGTCTAGCGTCGAGTTAATATTAAGTGAGCTGCCGTAATGTAAGGGCCCGTTTATGTACGCTAATTAAATGCGGTTTTTCCCTGTGAATCGGCGCCAGACGGATTCCTAACAAACTATGTGGTTATCGTGATTAAAACTTAAGTGTACTTTCATATACATGTACGCAATTAATTAGTCAATTTACTCTTGCAATTATAATCACTTCTATGGATACGCGAGTTTTTCTCTCCTGTTGGATATAGATTGGATATTATATTGCTATAATAAATATTACAGATTTTTGTTCTGTAATATATAAAATAAATCGTTGGGACTGTGGCTTACAAAATAATATAAATTTTATTTGACGAAATTACTTTTTAACGTTTAATAAAAATTAAATATACTGAGTTTAATTTTGAGCATATTATCCTTGTTTCAGAAAACCCGACCTTCGGGAAAGACCTGTTGATAATTAACCATAATTTAATACATTCATGCTTTTTATACGTTTTTTTAAATCGATGTTTAGCTTTTGGACATATTTTAACAAAATTTTGATGTTAAGTCATACGAAACTTTATCTACAGAAAAATTCTAGACTTCGCGTATTTCAATCTCCAAGCTAAACATCGTTAATATCTTAAAAATTATAACCCCTCTAGTCTATCATTTTTTTTCCCTTTGAGACAAAAATTTAGATAAATGTTTTATAATAATCTGCGTAAAGGTATGTTTGTCAACAACTTAATTATATTTAAGTATACTTACTCCTGAACCGAAGTAGCTTAATTCTGAGCAATTTTCTTGCAATTTTCCGATCTAGATTCTCTAGACGGCTACAGGTATACTAGAAAGTAGGTTGTATGTCGTAAAAATGATTAAATCTTCATTTCTGATCGGCTCCCATTAGTTACTTTGTGTTGACGTTTTGTGTTGATCAGCTGAGCAAATAATGTGGATCTATAAATACATATTGTTTTCGTCTGGCATAAAAACAAGACGAAATGTGAAAAACATTTTGGAACATAACTTTAAAGGTCCCTTAGAACAGATTGGTTTTCCGAAGCCTTTTATTAAACTACATATATCTCAGTTGTCTGTCTTGTAAAATTATTGTTGTTACTAAATAACTTGTGCTAAGGATAGAGTTCGTATAAACTTAATATTTTATATGTAAATTTTATAATTACGACGTTATTTTTATTGCAGTAGTGTAATCTGCCGAGTTGTGCACTGGCTGTTTTTGGTTTATATACATAAAAAGAAGTTAGAGTCTGTCGTGCGTCAATTGTTTTATGGTCTTTTAAGAATATTTTTTCCCATGTAAGCTTCTTGTGTTTTTCATTACTTTTTCCAACTTGATGAAACAATTTAAATAAATCTTACAATAATATAATTTTATTAGAACATACATGTTTTTATAACCTTAATAGACAGAATTGAATAAACCGATTAATTAATATTTATTATTGGGTGACAAATAGAGATAACTTGAACTAAATTTCAATAGATAATAAACTACCTTGTCCAAAAAATACATAAGGTAAAATTTTAATTTAAATTGTGCGCGTCGCAGGATTTGGAGGGTTTTTTAGGTAGGTATTACTGTCAGTGACATCTATGTCAAACTTACATGGTTACTACGTTTGAAATAACCGTCACTTTGTGAGCTACTAAAAGTAAGTTCTTTGGTTTTTGCGATGTCGGAATTTGTTGAGCAAAGAATTTTAAATTTTGTTGGCGGAATAATTTTTTTGTTAGGGCTACCTTAAGGGCGATGTAGAAAGCCTTTAGTGATGTCTAAAAGAAATGTTTTCAAGTTGTAAAGTGAGTTGCAAGCCGGCCGTGAAGGTGTAGAAGATGAAGAGCTTCTTTAATGACCATTAGCCTCAACCAACGAAGCTCGCACCTCCAACAAATCTAACATTTTTTGTTGAAAAACTGTCAACCAATGATAAGAGACCTTGCTGATGAGGTTAGCGTATAAACAGCCTTGGTCAATACCATTTTAAAGGATGTTTCGAGATTCAAGCGCGTCGAATCTCGATTGGTACCGAAAACATTGGCTTTTTAGAAAAAAGTCGTCGCGTTGATTTGTGTGAAACGATGCTTTCTGACTATCAGGATCACTGAAGACAAGTCTTGGATCTATTCTACGATCCCGAAACAACCAATCAAAACATCCAATATCATGATAAACGGGAGGAGAAACAAAAAAAATGCGCTCGGTGGCTTAAAACTCAAGGTCATGTTGATTTTTTCTTCGATTATCGTAATCTTGTTCATCCACCCTCTGGGTCAAACAGTTACTAAAGAATATTACTTGGTTGTTATGCGTTGTTGTCGTAACGCTATCTGACTTAAAAGGATACAATTGTGGAAAGACATTTTTTGGTTCTTACACCTCGATAATGCACTATCTCATGTTGCACTTGTAATTCGTCAGAATTTGACCAAAATCAACCCATATCGTTTCGCAACCACTGTGTTTACGTATCTCTATCTATTAATTTAACTGGCGCTGTGCGACTTTTGGCTAAATAATTATAAAATAACGAAATGTTTCTTACGAAATTGTTAATAGTTTATACAAAATTGCTTTGAAACTATTCATGTTTTTTTTTTAATTATTGCACTCTTATTGGTTATATCATAGGATTTGGAGATAAATAAAACAATTACATCTCGTCATTATAATTTAATCAATCCGTTATTTACAACTGCGGTGGTTGTAACAACAGCTTCACACTCAAGACTGTTGTTAAGTTAATAAATAAAAGCTGCGAGAATATTTGAATAAAACACAAAAATATAACATAATACAATTTACATTCATTATTGACACTAATCTTAAATTTGTTTTCCTTCTAATAGCTTTGTATCTATAATTCGATTGTCTCATAGTAATAAAAAAATACAGCGCTGCTATATCCTTGCCCCGCGGTTTTGCCTATTATTAAAAAAAACACGTCATAAAATAAAACTTCCGAACTTCCAAAACAAACAATACTTTGAGCCAATACTGAGTTTAAACATTGAGCTATTCAAATAATCAGCTTCTGTACCATATTACAAAACCTTCCATCTCTAACAATATCAATATAACCTATCTAAGACCGGCGAGTAGCGTCTCACTTAAAACATAATAACACGTTTGGTTCACATAAAGCTATAACAACAGTTAACTTTAAGAATATTTAATTCTTTACATTCACTTCACTTAGTTAAATTTACACGATAATAAGTTTTTTTTTTCGTTTTAAAATAAGCATTTTATCACATAATTTGTTTTCTAGTGCCTAATTTTCGTTTAATAAGCTAGTTACTTAATATTAAATTATGCAATTTATTAACAAAAGTATCTTTTTATATCGTTAATTCTATCTATTGAAATCTTTATCACACTTACCACTAGTCTGTTCAAACTCAACACGTGACGTTAACAGTTTAACAACACAAACTCAATAGTAATTGTATTTTGTATGTAATAACGAAAATGTCATGTATACATGACGTATATTTTGGTTTTGATTAAATACCTGTAATATTTTAAGTATTGTTTTTATAAACATATTTTTAAGTATATAGACGCTTTTAAGAATAAAAATTTTAAACTGATATGTGAGGATTTAACTGAAAGAAATGTATTGAAATTAATATATGAATCCAAGAAACGTTAATATTATTTAGATATTTAAAGTAAAATTAGTTTTGCTTTGAAGAATTCTAAATTGAAGAAAATTTTTTTATAAAAAAATTAAAAGAATATTTTTTCTAGTACTTATTCAAAGGAAAACACTGTCACAGACATACTATAATATTTTTCCTCATATCTTCCTGTTTGTTTGAATATAAAAAATAAAGGTATTTTTGCAAACATTCAATATGCATTATACCCAAATGTTCTTAAAACATACTTATGATTTGAAATGTATGTCCACATGTTCCAGCGTATACGCTGCATCAGTATAATAATTTATGTAACAAAAGTATTGAAAATATCAATTGACCAAATATCTATAGCTATTTATTTACATTGTACATATAAATGGCACGTGTATCAAGAATTGAGTTAGGACGAAATCTTAGAATAAGCTACTCTATGGCGTTACAATAAGAGCTACTTTAGTTATTGGCCAAGCTCGATAAGTTAGCGTTGAGAAGCAAGAAAAGTTTGAAGCTTCAGTGTGTATATAAAAGATTCTATATATTCACAAAAGTGCGATTGAATATTTGTTCACCATATATATATATATATATATATACATACACATACACACATACATGTATATATACATGTATATATACATATATATTCAATTAAAAAATATATTTTATTGTCCATTTAACAAAATGGGGGTGTAATATCATTTCTCTAAGTACAATCTATATACGACAGACATCCGTATAATATATTTTTTTAATAATTTTAATATTTTTTATACAAATTCCGAGTTGATCTTAAACACTAGTATATTACATGTGTATTTACATTTATTTTGGTATTATTAACATTTTGAACTTCATAATAAGATGGCACGCTTAACATATAAGCATTACCACATAGGCAATACATTATTGATCACAAACTTATATATAACATTATAAATACCAAAATATATAATAAATTATAACCAGTACATAACAGTCATTATATTGTTTTGGTTATTTAATATATTTGTATGAATTTATTCATATAAATGGGATATTTTATACATGCTTATATATCACTATATAAACATATCTTTTTCATCTCATTATGAATATATTTGTTGAATTCTATTGTTATTATATTAAACATGTACAGACATAATGAACTGGTTTATGTTCATATATAATTAATTTAAAAACTAACTTACAAATGTTCAAAACATTATTTTCATATATAATATTTACAAAATATAAGAACAAAATTTTAATTTCATTCATAAATAGTTTTGATTATTATTTTTTTAACAAAATTTTGTTGTTTTTATTAATTAGAAATGTATGGAATTTAATTTATAATGTCAGTTTGAGATCTGATTATATTAACAGAATACTTTTTTGTAATAAATTATTTATTTTTTTAAACATAATTCTTGGTATTTACTCTTTTTCTTCTTAATATTTATAATTCCAACACATTAATTATTATTTCATAGTTTAAAACAATTTAATATGGGATATATTTCAATAAATCGCGTTATAAATTCCCTGTTAATGGAATATCAACCTTCAATGGTAATAATAAAGCACATTATTAATTGAGAGATGTTCTGCACCATTTGATTTTTGTTAGAGCGTGCTTAAAGACTCGTGTAAAGAAATGTATTCTATACATACATTAAATCAATACTTCATAGGAATTCCAAGTCAACCAAAATATTTAATCGCATAGCGAAGATAATTTCATGGATTCTACATAGAACAGATTATGAATATAAATAAAAAAGTTTTTTATTATTTTTTAAATATGATGTACAGTTGTTTAAACCTCTATAATTCTATGAAAATCATCAAATCAGATTATTCACGAATTAACACACAGACAAAATCCTCACTAACAAGCAAAGTGATTCAGGTTATGAGCATGTACATGACAACTTAGGTACTTTCTATGTATTTTTCTCAAATAAACAGTTCCTCATAAGCTACATAAGTATTTTCCGCTTAATATGCTAAGTACGGATTACGGTAATGTAGTACTTCACACGACCGTTCGAAATATTTTGAATATGACTTGAGAATTCGGAACGAAAGGTCTCGTTCTAAATTTAAAATGTTGGATTGGGGGGCGTTGAGGGGTATATAAGCCCTCACATTAGAAAGGAAGCGTCAGTCTCACAGGACGCTCTCCCGCTGAGGGCGCTCCTCTGGCGGACTGGGGGAGGGGGGGTCGGAAGGCGAGGCGGCTGTCCTCGTGATGGCTGGAGGCCGAGACGCTAAGTGAGCCCCCATAGTTATAGGAGTATCTTCAGGATCGTCTTCCTCACCTTCCTCCAGATCCTCATCTATCGGAGTCAGCACGTCCATAGGTTGTTGGACCTCCTCTTGTTTCCTGTAATATTATTTAACATGTTAATCTTAGCAGAATATTGTGCAATATACCGGAGAAAAATAAAATGCTTATAAACTCTAAATACCGTTTTTAGTCCAAATTGTTACTGATTAAATATGTTCTAGAAAATAATAAGAAAATCGCATCAGAACTTATAAATTACATGCACCTTTCTAGAATTATAGATAAAAAGATAAGGGTCGAATACATAGAAAAACCATATCAATGAACTGAATTTTCTATGTAGACACAACTTTCTATACACGAGGAAGTTAACATAAACCACTGCCTCACTTAGACTAAATCTACGATTTTCTGCCACTCAATAGTACAAATTAATACATGCCTTCTGAACATAGGTGCGGCGAATGACGTTAGCGTGGCAGCCAGGAAGAAGGCAGCCGCCATGTAGAATGAGGCGTCGTAGTTCCGTGTAGCGTCGTACACAGCGCCCGCCAGCGGCGAGCCTACTATAGCCGCGGCTCCACGGAACAAAATCAGGAGACCGAAAGCGTTCGTCAACTTATCCAGACCCAACAAGTCAACCAGGATGATAGACGTGAGAGATATGTAGCCAGCTGGTGATTAGAGATCATGTTATAATGGTTTTCTACACCGATGGATAATGTTTCTGTTTACTTTCGATAGATGGCGCTTTTACCAAATCCTAAATTGAATTAAGTTATAAATTTCTGTGAAAGCTTGCATTTAATGATATGGGAATTAAAGTAAGTAAGTATATAAGATTGTATGTTACGCTGTTCTATCGGTTATTTATGCAATGCTTATTTGAGTCACTGAGCCGCTGACTTACTACATTGATAATACAAATACAGTCTCTATAAATACCCTATAATTTCTTTTAATATATAGTGAAATCTGAATTAAGTAAATATTTGACTGAATATAATTAGTTTGTTTCATATTTTTCTACCATACTACTAATAGAACGGCAAATACACTATTTATTATTATCATTTTATTTGTGTTACAAATACATGAATTTCCGTGAAATTTAATTTTCCCTTGATTTATTATGGTTCTAAATTATTTGTTATTTTGTAACTCACTATTTGGTCTGTAAATATGTATTGTTAATGATAATAATACTTACAAATAGCAATTCCAAAAGCAATCGCAACAGCAACGTACGCCGCGTAGGTAGTGCAGAATGGAGTAACGGCGACGGAGATCTGTAGTTATAATAATTTTAAATTGAGAGGTATAAATAAACAATGTAAGTAATTTCAAAGAACCATTTATAGTTAAATAAAAAATTTACAAGTATGTATTCCAAAATTGTACATAATCTATTACTAAGTTAGTAAGATATACAATATATGTTTCAAATATCCAGTACATACAAAGTCACTAAAACAAACTATTAATTTTGTAAATTATACAGAAAATATTGTTCATTGGTCATCTTATTATATATGAGTATTACTAAATATTATATATTCAAATAACTTACAGTAGCAATAACGAGACATATGTTATTCAGTAACAGTGAGTCCATCCAAGGAAAGTCCGCTACCCAGCCGCACGCGATACGACCGATGGTGTTCGTTATACCGATGATTGATAACAGGAATGAAGCTTGAGACTGTTCTACACCCTGTATATTGTTATATAGATTAACCATTAATTGTCATTGTATAAGATTAGCTATTAATAAGTTTGGGCTTAATGGGTTTTAAGGGAATCGCTAGAACTGTAGAAAGAGGATTTCTAAATTTCACCCTGTATATGAATTCATTTTACATCCTATCTATGACTTTACATAATTGATTGAAGTTTTGTTGCATTTTATAACGTAAATTTCCATGATTTGACCAGTCCAATTCATCCAAGAAAAAAATTTCTTAATTTAAATTTATTAACATAATTTCTTGCTTTAAACAATTAATTCAAACCATATGATATTTACACTAGATGTTACTTAATTATCAACTTATATTTTTGTTATTTAGTTAGGTAGAGAGAGGAGCTTGGGCAGTGGAGGTGAACATTTAACGCGCGTTAGATAGATGTCCCTTAAACCTACACCTGGGTCACAAGTCCAAGGCACTGTTGAAGCTCCTCTACCTACAATGACGCACCCGCACGGCGAATACATTGAATGCTAAGAGGTTTCGTATCTTGTTTCTACACTGATTGGTTTATCCTACTTATATTATAATTGCGAAAGTTTGTGAGTGTGCCTATGTTTGTTACTTCTTCACGCTCAAACGGCTGAACCGATTTTGATAAAATTTTATATACAGGAAGCTGACGTTTAGGAATAACACATAGGCTAGTTTACATCCCGGAAAATGTTCGAGTAACACCGCGGGGCGCAGCTAGTAATATACTCACAGTCATCTGCGCGGCGTCCACTATATACACGAAGGGTACATACAGCCCGGCCATACCGAAAACATTAGACACTCCTATCAACATGAAGGCCGGGTCCCGCAGAAGGCTCACGTCCAACATTGATGATAACGCCGCCTTGAAAGACTCGGGCAGAGACAGGCATGGACATAGGTCGTATTCTGTAAATGAAACGTATGAAAATATTAAAATAATTATATCATTTAACACTTATTATAAACATATGTATCAACTTACACCAGAAATTTTTAGAAAATAGCTTGAGAAGAAATAATATTATGCTAGCGACATCTATCGTTTGTGTCACGGACTTCATACTGTAAATACTATTTTTTGATTTCTTATACTGTATACATATATGTATTTATGTTTGAGTTATATCATCGTAATTTTCATTAAATCCTTTCACTAGCTTGACAGGGTAAAAAACATTGCCTTTTACCATTATCAATAGTAGAACTACTAGGAGTTTTGTTTCCTTAATACGTTTTTCCATTATGTACGGAAACATAAACAGTGTTCGTTGCTTATGTTAAGTTGATAATGAAAACTATCACTTCAGATATTGATGAATCAATTAAAGATTTTTTACTATTTAAAATATCTCTTGTTCTCGATGTCCCTATATTACTAACCATTTCCATAATCTTCCTAGCAAGGTTCAATTATGCTTAACTGATTATGCTTAACCGATTTCCCTACCACTAATTCTCATATTCACGTTCTTGTCTATCAATTCTATATCTTACTAGCTAGGTATCACGATTCTTAACTGTATGAACCGATTCCTCTACCACTGGTTCTCATACTCACGTTCTTGTCGCTCCAGATCCCCGGCCTGCCTGCTCTGCGGTAGACTGAGCACCGAATTCCTGTACCCTTGGAGCGACTTCTGGCTCTGATACTGCGGCAGATTGATGACGGACCCGGAGTAGAAGATGTCTTTACGGGAGAGAGGACGGACCATTCGGGACGGCTCCTTGGCCGATACTGATAACTTTGATGTATACATGTTGCTCTCCGTATCACCCTGTATATAGGAATATTATATTATATAGTCTTTGTTATATAAGTTACTGTATGTAGTTAATAATCATACTATCCTACTAATATTATAATTGCGAAAGTAGGTGAGTGTGTGTGTATGTTTGTTACGTCTTCACGCTCAAACGACTGAACCGATTTTGATAAAATTTTGTATACAGGAAGCTGACGTCCAGGAACAACACATGGGCTACTTTACATCCCAGAAATCTCGGAAATCCCGGAAATAAGCGGGTAACACCGCGACGCGCAGCTAGTATAGTTATATTTATGTATGTACTCACGTCGCCTCGATGGCTGCTCATTGAAGTTTTGGACGCAGCTTTAATAGCGGCTAGGGACGGTTTAAATCTGTAATAATAATTAAAGATCTATATAAGCAAAAAGTATTCTCATAGTATTAAAAATTACATGCAAATATAAGTATTAGAATTATGTGGGGAAGATAAATGCATAAAAATCTTAAAACTCAGCAAGTACGAATTACATACAACTAGTGAAATTACTTGAATCCTGTAATTTTTTCAAGCTATAAAGACGCTTTGCACAACATGTATATATAATAAACAACGAGTGGCGTGCTAAGTAAAAAGCACAAAACATAACATTCAAGTACAAAATATAGAATAACAAAAAATATCAGAAATAGTATTAAGCTGCGACTTATGGGATAACATAGCATCATTTGACATTTTAGATCATTAGTTCTTTTTTTGTTACCATAATAATTATAGCATCACAACAAAATCAAGTAAAGCATCACATATCTTTGCCAAGTGCTTTTTTCTCCTGTTTGCAAAGTCTTATATAAGAATCCCCTCATCCCCAGCACTTCCATTCTCCGCTCACTCCGCCCCCTCCACCACAATACTATAGAAAAGCCGGCTACCTATCATTAGCTGACCTGTCCGCGGAGCTGTGTTTCCGCTGACGGTCGAAGAATGGAACGGAACCGTTCTTAGGTATTCCCGGAGCCGTAGCACTGAAGGCCGGAGAAGATACATTCCTGGACATAGCTTGTTGTTCTTGCTGGCTGGGACTTAATGCGCTGCCGTTTTCGTTCTGAAATGTATTAAACTCTTTATAGAAGATAATACATATTTATTTGAATCGTTTTAATTGTTTTCGACGTTTCTTTGATGGTTCAGTCCTCATTGAGGTAGTCAATCGCTTTATTCTATGAGAATGCTAATCTAAATCACATATTACGTCGAATTTCTTTTTATCTAATGAATTCTATTTTTCTATTTAGCTGATGGAGAAAATCTAACAAAACATTCAAGTGCCAACTTATAAGAAATCGAAATGATCTGATTTTTCATATATACTTTTATAGTTTATAGGAATAAAAATATTTGCAAATTTAAAGTTGATCAGCGATTCTACATGTCGATTATTGGTGGAATAGCATTCAAACTTCTTATTACTAAATATTTACTTATTATTATATATAATACCTTTTTCTTGTCAACATTTTCATCCACCACTCTTGCCTCGGTGATAGTAGGAAGTGTTGGCACGGTGGGTACACCCGGCATGTTTGGGATGGTGGGTACACGAGCTAAGGCTTCCAGGTTCAACGAAGAATGGACACCTGGATCAATATTCAATGGCGCCTGGAATATAAAATATTACTTTTGTAAAGTTTTCGAGTATAATAATAAAACTTTTTAGTCAAATTTTAGCTCACGTATGCAATTTGGAAGTAAAAAAATATAAAACCTACTTTTAATCTTTTCTCCATTGTACCATCTGGTAATTGCACAACGAAGTATGAGCCGCCTATAGAGCCTCTTTCCATTTGCAACCTCTTTTCTTCCGCCATTCTCTGAAGAAGAGGCTTTTCGCCGGATGTCTAAAAAATATAAAAAATTGTAACAAATGTACATATTTTCATTAAAAAAGTTATATCCGGGTGTTGACAGTAATACAGTCAACGGTTTGAAATGCATAAAATTATGACTTAAATAAGATTTATTACTGGTAATAAGAAATAGAAGAATCATTAATTAAAATAAGATGATGCTTTGTCTCAAATCATTGAGTATCTTTAACGACTGTATTTATTGCTAAACATATGTTATTAAGAGAAATGAGTATATGCATAATTTTTTAATACTGCTCACATAAGATTACTTTAAGACGACTTTGTTCTAAAAACATAATATACTGAATAATTTTAGATAATCACGAAATGAGAATAGCTTTGTTTACGTAAACATTTAGGTTTGAAATAGCAATTCTATATAATTTCACCGTCCGGCCTTGAACGAAGGAATCGTTCAATTGCAGGTAATTAAAACGGAACAGTCAATTAGTACGTATTAAACACACGATCATACTGACATCGAATTGTTAATTAGAACAACTATTTTTAGGTGCTGCTAATAATTCCTGACATTGCATTACTGGCGTGCTAGAAAACTGCTTAAATATAAGTTGAGGGTAGTCTGTAAACTGATCATATTATGTAATGGCTGATTTATTTATTTCGGGTTATTAGAATACTTACTTTGGGATACACAAGCGGTCTCATCAGGGCTCCGAATACAGCGCAGTTCAATATCAAGCCGGCGAGTAGTAAATTAGCATTTTGCCAGGATCCGAAGTAGTTGAGCAAGATTGCAGCTAGAGGGGCGAAACTGAAGGTACCCACTCCTGAACCACACACAGCTATACCAGTGGCTAGCGATCTTCGGGTTTCGAAATAATAACCTACAGCAACCACTGACGGTAGATAGATCATACCAAAACCCATGCCTGGAAAGATAGACCATTATGAGAACAAAAAAATATGTAATGGGATGGTCTTAATACTATCGATTTATTTATTAAAATGTTTCTATTACATTTCTTTATTAATCATCGTAGCAACTGACATTCGACCAAGCTGTCGTTTTCGTAAAACATCAAAATTTACGAATTATAAATCATGAAAAGTACAAGTATTTCTATAAATAAAAAAATATCAGTGATTATAAATTATCAATAAGTAATTTAATGCATATATCATGTATTTAATAGATATCTCTATCTAGTACTGCGATGTATGGCTGTAGGATCGTTGTTGGCATGCGATGTAATACTTCAAGGTGATAATTGATTGAACAAATATCATCCGAATATCTGTCTATCAAATGTTCGGTACATTATAATATTCATCTAATACTTATGTTACAGTAACAAGTATTTCAGTTAACGACCTTGACATCAATCATATATGGACAATATAATAAATTGGGTTCAAACATTCCTCGTGAGTTAAATGATAGTTACGGAACGCCAATTTAGGGCTAATTTTTTATTTGGGAGCCGTTTTAGGAGCGTAAACAAATTCCGTTCAGATAAAACGAATCTGACGGATATGAAAACATAATAAATACAAACATTCGCGACTGATAGGAAATGTTATGTCATATAAAAGTTATAACGTAATACAAAACAATTTTATCTTTAAAAAAACCTTCTATTAATTTAACATTTCTTACTGAATCTCGTAAACATTTCCGAAGTAAGGTGTATGATATATAAATTTAGTTCGCTTTAATTCTAAATAAAAAGACATTTTCAGTTAAAACAGTCGCGGAATTCGGAATTGAAAGCAGGATAAAACATATTTATATAAAAACTATACTTGTTTAATACGCCTACAATATCCATATACAGGGTGACTGGTGAATTACTATCGATACTTGAGGACGTGATATTTGACGATCATATATGACAAAATAAAAATTAATATAACATAAATATTAATAAACTTCTAAGTAAAGTTAACCAAAAGTTATGTAATTAATTACGCATCCTACAGATTAGGCATTAACACCCTACAGATTAGGTATACAAACACACTCACACATACGCGTGCGGCGGCGTGGTGTTGTATCAGCACCTTATTCTCCTTAAATATTGATAGTAATTCACCAGTCACCCTGTATAAAAATCCATACAAATTTTGACAATCTCCATGAAACCAATTGATAAAACATGAATTTCAGTGTTCTGGTACAAAGAGATGTAATTGTACCGTATTGTATCTGGGTTATGATAACGAATGAATCAGACTCGCAACACCAAACAAAAGTGAGAGGTCATCAGCACATGCGTCATTTTCCGGGAAACGATTCGCATATACACATATCCGGCTTGCTTTGTTTTAAACGATCGTGACTTTGAATTTTTCGTCACCTTAAAGATATTTTAAATTTAGACAGAAGAAAAGTCTGTTGAGAAAAATACTCGTTATATGTGGATTGTTAACGGTTTCTATGTATATGGGGCGGCAAATTTTTATTGAGCAATTATGTATATACTAGGTTTCCGCCTGCAGCTTCGCCCTCGTGGAATTCGGTTATATCGCGTTTCCAAGAGAACCTTTCAAAAGTCTGGAATAAAAACTATACTATGTTCTTTCTCAAGGTCAACTCCAACTCTGTACCAAATTTCATTAAAATCAGTTCAGTGGTTTAGGCATGAAAGAGTAATAGACAGACAGACAGAATTACTTTCGCATTTATAATATTAGTAGGGATGTCTCGTTATTAAAAGACAGATAGAAAATATGTAATTTTATTTTGTAAATTTATCTATTATATGGAAAGAGAGGTTCAATTGAAATATACTTATTACGGGAGAAAACTAAAAGGATTCTATTATATTATTTAATATGACTGTAGGTCTTCTTATACTTGCTGGGTAGACCGATCCATTGAAATTAAATTGATGTGCAATAATAACTATTAATTTTGAAAACAAACGCACTTATTATTTTGTACAAAAGCAGACAATGAACATATTGGAAGTAAAATTTCAAACAATGAAACGCTTTGTTCGAAACGCAACGAATTAATCAAAAGTTAACTGAAACTTGGTACAGACAACAGTTATTTGTATCAAATAGAATATATAGGAATAAAAAATATATGAAAACTAGCAATAATGTTATTCCCAATGTAGAATATTATAAATATTAAGAATTGGGTACATTTTTAAATACCAATTTGATATTAATTCGCAAATATCTCAGATTTTTAGTAGTGATAATTGTTTTGATAAATATACATATACATATTTTAAATTCCAGCGCATTTCTTTATAAATATTTTTCTTCGAAATATATATTGTAAACAGCAATATTAATTATGAATGTAAGGCCATATACATATATGTATGTATGTCCAAAAGAACTTAATATTGAATTAAATGAATTGAAATAATCCAGATTTACAGGTGCTAATTAAACAAGGTTAGGTTATTTTCCCTTTGTCCTCCATTTCGGGTTTCAAGGGACTAAATCGACAAACAGGAATTGGGTCAGATCAGACGTTTGTTAATACTCTTATATGGGCTTAGATTGGACTGGATAAAGCGTCCGTTTTATTATTGCCAGACGTAATAATTTTTAGTGAATTTTGTATAAAACCTTATCTATATATTATACATATATGTATAAAAGAGATTTCCACCTATATATTGACTCATCACGATATCTCTGGAACCATAAGGAGTAGCGACTTGAAATTTGGTAGGATTATTCCTTTCGCCGAGTAGAGGTCAGCTAAGAACGGATTTTAAGAAATTCCACCTACAAGGGAGGTTACGGGGGCGTTAACAATGGAAAATTCCCATCTTTAACCTATAGCTCCTATCGACTTCACATTTGGTAAGAATCTCCTATATGTGATGTAAAAATGATCTAAGAGCGGATTTTATGACATTCTACTCCCAATATTGATTGTGCATCAGTAGCATTAAAAATACAAACAACCCAAATTTTTTACTTTTTTATCACCAACCCCTATTTTTTTATATGGCAGAACAATGTTTGCCGGGTCAGCTAGTTTTATATAAAACACTAGTTTTTGCCCGCGACTTCGTCCGCGTTAATTTCGTCATTAGTAATATAGGAATAGCTGACCAGGCAAACTCTATCCCGTCTTCAATAACCCGGTATTGGTATTTATTAAATTTCTACTGTTTCAATCGAACAGAATGATTGACATATTAGTTAGTTGTCAAGTCTAATGTCAAAAATCGTTTGTATGGGAAATAGAAAAGGGCTGTTTTTAGGGTTTTTCCAGCAATTATTCCAATTTTTCTCACCTTTTAAACCTTTCCTGGACTTCCAGGAGTATTTCAAGACTAAAATTAGCCAAATCGGTTCAGCCGTTCTCGAGTTTTAGCGAGACTAAGGAACAGCAATCCATTTTTATATATATAGAAGATTATTTTAACCCCTATTCAAAAGAAAGCCATTTGTCATTTATTGACACAATAAATCCTGGTGTATCAAGTTCAAAGCTATCAATATCTTAGTGTTAGCGATAAGACAAGTGTTAAGTTATTGCGATACATATTTTAATATTATTATCCGGTTGCTAAGTGATAAATGCTGATAGTCATTATAAACTAAGACTTGGGTCCTAAGTAAAGATTTTGTCGTTGAATAATTGTTTTACGTCTTTTAAATTTTTCATTCACAAACCTTCGTATAGGGTCAAAATTCTACATCATCAAATACTGTTTATTCTTAAGAATTTTCTCGTATAATTCTTATCATGATAAAATTTGAAGGATTATTAAATGATATGATTTTTTATCTAAAACTATAACCCCATACTCTGTGGGCGCCGTGTTGTCTACGACAGTTGGCACTTTGCCAAACTTGATACGACCTTCAAAATGTTGTGATAAAATTAATAAGGGTAGTATTAAGTTTTTTATATGAGGAATTTGAATTAAATTGTGAGACGATAAATTCCAGATGTTTGTATAACAAAAATAGCTACAGCATTAGCTTTTATTCGTAACCTCTGGAAGCTTTTCCTTGAATTGCACTACAGCACAGAAATAATGGTGTTAAATATTTCGGAAAACAAATTTATTGCGGGTTCTATATCAAAGACAATATTTATAAATCAACTTTAACCGTATTAAATGCATTAATAAATATACTTTATTCGTTCAACACACAAGCTATATTACTATGTAGTATTTCTTTAAAAGCTTGGTTTCGCTCGAGGCTTTACTCGCTTAATTTTTGTGTTTTCAGCTGTATATTGAATTTGTATGTATATACACTTATTTGTTGTACATTGATGGTGTACGGATTTCTCTTATTATTGTGCTGCGTAATATTGAAGAAAAAGCGTCGTCCCGTATCTCATGTCATATGTACGATAAATTAAATAATAAGATTTATACCACGAGCATTAATATTTAAATAATTTAATGGATTTTATTATATGGAATAATTTATATGCTTCTTTTTAAAACAGTCGTTTATATTTTTAAAATAAATGGGTACGTATACGCGAACTAATGACTTATTCGTACGATGGGGAGCAATTTAATCGCGGAAAACCCTAAATACAAAATCGCATGCCACCGTTCGTATTAAAAATTCAAATTGCTGAGTTGTTTTGAGGAAATTCCGTTTATTTCCAATATTCAAAGGGCTTAACATTCACGACCAGTGTTCATGATATTCACCCGGTTAGTTGGCATGTGGCCAATTTCACACACGGTCCGTTGCCACCCAACAAAACAAAGAACTCTAAAACGTTTTAATCAACGAGCCACTTCTTATTCATCATTGGAAAAGCAAATATTTCTTTGCCAGTCGCAGGTCTTGGTTAGCTGGTTTTTCATAGTCATTGTTTAAAACTTAACGTTACTCATCGTCTATGAGTTCTTGGCATTACACCAGTTGTAAAAGTTCTCGTATAAAGCACATTAGCAGGATGTGACCGACGAAGCGACTCGAAGCACATTTATGCCAATGTGCCAAGGCCGTCACTCACACAAGACATCACGTTCGCTCTTAACGAGCCCTCCATCTATTCCTGGCATAGATTTAAATAATCTCTTATGGATTCATTTCTATTAATAAAATTATATCCGAATTCTATTTTATGTTTTTACAATAAGTATCGAGCTGTAAAGTGTTTTTATTTGAATATGCTATAGAGAGTGGATCGTGGTTTTAAATTATACGGTTCATGCTGTATTATAGGTAGAACGATAATTTATCTCGACCAAATAGTACCGCGTAAACTATTTAAGTAACACGTAAGATGGATAAAAGTATGGTACTTTGGTTTATTTGTGTATATACATATTTATCTACATTTTAGTGGCTTCATTTACGGATGTTCGTTTGGTTTATTTATCGCATTTGTTTATACGGTAGCACTAGCTTTATCCCACGACTTTCCTCGCTCATAAAATTTAAACTTAAAAAAAACTAGTTTGACTTTAAAATTTATCAGCTGGCTTGTATTTATAAGCCTAAATATCGACTTCATTTTGATAAACATATGTTTATTAACTAAACACAAAACTGAAACTATATTTTAAATATATTGTCACAAAAAAACGTCGATATCTTATTTCTAAACCTTACCACTTGTTTGTCACACTACATACAGAGAGTTTTCATTACAATCATTAGCCTATTTCGATACTATCATGTACTACTAACATATAGTAAGTTTACTGAATCAAAGTCACGCACTACCACATGAAAGGATTCTCGTAATGATATGTATATATTTTTCCTGTATAATGTCAATAAGATCTCATAAACATTTTTAAATGCAGTTAATTTTTCAATGAAATAAAAGAGAGAAAAATCAAAATATTTATTCCATATCAGTCAAGTAAATAATGAGAAAAATATTCAACAATTATTTTGTTATCACAAACACATATGGAAATGTGTAGGTATATGGATCTAGATATATACATCATCATATATATTATATAAATACATATTCTAAAGATAATCCAGCGATGGAAAATAATTATAAAGCAGACGCCTTATTTTAGATATCTCACACAAAATAATTAATTATCCAAAGAAAATAAACAGTTTCAATTAATTTATATGCCTTTATGAAAATATATTTTGTTATTAATTTCATTTAAGTTCATTTTGCTATTCTCCATTATTTTGTTTTGTTATATATATAATATAGTTTTTGTTATGTTTATTTATTACCTAGATAGACACGTGCAAGCCGCGGAGCTAATACATGACGCGATTGCATTTTGTATTTAGTTATGCATAGCAACTACATCTTATCGTGAGTCCAGATTAATATATGAGAATTTATATGCAAATTATATTGTATTTGGTCTGATTATTATAATAACGAAAATAACAAAAATAAATATAGAAAAAAAGTCGCTTTTGGGATAGAAGGAATATATGTATTTAAAGTTATTTGTATTACTTCAATAAAATACATAAATATTGAAATAATTTAAAATCAATTTGTTTATATCATATACTGCATTGCGGTCACTCGTGAATCGTGATATTCACTGCCAATGAATTGATGAATAGAATTTAAATTACTTATGTATAAACGATTTACTAGTATTACCTACAACATTAGTAGTTTATTGATTGTTTTTGTTGAGTACATTGTAATATATAGAATTTAATCGACCAACTAGTCGAGCGATTGATAGACTAATCGGTCGACTAGTCGGGATTGTTTCTGATATTTACCTCCAATAAGTCCATATGTGATCATCATCATAGTCACACTCTTGCTGAAGGTGGAAAGTACGAAGGCGGCTGAAGCGACCAAGCTGCCAGCGACACAGACCGCTCGACAACCATATTTGTTACATAACGCGGATACAACAGGACCTGGGTGAAAAAAGTATAATTATTGGAACATTCTGATAATAAAATTCAATTATTTTGACTAAAAATACGTGATTTTGTACCACAAATGTGTATGTAATTTCCTATTAAGAATTTTCTCAGTGTAGTATATTAAATTAAGGATATTATTGTGCTTAGGTATTAAATACAAGTATGCCAGTATGGAAGTCGGTGAATGAAACATTTAAAAAGCCATCTCAATGTCAGATTGTAAAGGTACACTTTTTTAACTAAACCAATTTGTAGTTTTCATTGCGACTATAAAAAATAGAAAAACACGAAAGTCTTTCATTTATAAACTCAAGTAATAGACGCGCCGAAGATTTTAATTAAAAACCTTGGAACTGTCGGGATAAAATGCCAAACATACGGTATGGAAAACTGTCTAGAAGGAAAATTACAAAACGTTTCCATCGTAATTGTACTTATATCAATAAACAAAATATTTTAATATTAATTAAATTCGATCAATATTAATAAAAACAATAATATACAAAAAGCTGCAAACAAAATAACATCGTACACATATACATTTAATTTAAACTCAAAGGCCTTGTGGAAACGATTAAGGGATGACAGTCGATGACCCATAAATTTATCGATTATCGATATTTTTATCTCGACTCTTACTCAATAAGAGGTTATGTAAGTATAAGAATAAGGTAATTTAGGTTTTATCAATGTTTCAGACATAACACAAGGCTCGATGGACTTATATTGTGTCGTATTACCTTACGTAATAACCTAATCCTTTATTATTACTGTAAACATGTTTGTTTTGTAAACGTGATGTACATTGGTGACGTCACGCCAAAACGGTCCATAAACGGATAGGATATTATATATAAACACACACACACATACACACGTAAATGCTTACACACACATCTAAAATTACTACTATATAAATCATATAGAGGGTGCTTGGTTTCTTTAAATAACTTTTTTCTCTTTGATATGAAAATAAAAAGATGTATGATTATGAATGTATATATTTTTCTATTTCTATTCCTACTTTTCATATTTAGTGTTTTGACTGTATTTGAATTTCGAACTTGAAAACAAAAAACTAAAAAATATCTACCAATTTTGACAACAAATTTGTATCAGATATTTTTGATCGTGCATTAAGTTAACTGAGAATTGTAAAGTAATAGTTTGTTAATACAAATATAATAGTATAAATCCTTGACAAAATAATAAAAAATCTATTAAATGTGTTGTTATATAATTCGTATGATTAGCACAGATATCGAAGGGCTCCATGTAAGTCAACCTTGTACTCAAACCTAAATATCGTCTAACAACTTGCTATCCAGTTCAAGGAATTGTTTATGTAATTAATTATACGGAGTTGTGCCAAATGTGATCTTAAATACGTCTTTTTGTACATAATAGTTTTTATTTTTAATATATTGAAATAGTTATAAGCTGTAGTGTTAGGATTTTCTGCGATTTAAATTCGTATTTAATTTGCTTGAATTTGTATCCGAAAATGTTAATGTTTGAGACAAATGAATAAATATTTATTTTTTTATTTTATTCAGGTTTATTTTCCGATTTCTGGCTACGTCGTATTTAGAAATCGTTTGTATTCTTCTAATCAATGGATTTTCAAACTTCACACTATTGCGACTTACTATAATAGCACATAGGCTACAATTCATCATTGAAATAGGTGCAGTTCCTATGGTTTAAAGGCTTATATAGTACATATAACGACTAGATTTTGCCGCGACTACGTCCGCGTGGAATAGTGACTTCCGGCAGATTTATGGTTCTTCCCACATAGTTCCCGTTCTTGCGGGGTATTCGGAATGGTTATTTGAATAAAGATTAATATTATTATGTTGATACAACTTAAACAAATTATTTTGACCAAATTAGGTACCATAAAAACGGTTTTTTGAGTTAATCTTAAAAGATAGACATATACTGTCGCGGAGTGTTTTTAGATCATTAAAAGAGCTATTATTCTTTAATACATATTTTTGTGTATCTTTAACCGTTTTCACGGCGCACGCAACGGAAGGCTTCAAAGATGAAATAATTTCTCCCGTTTTTTACACATTTACCACTATATCTTTGCTCCTATTGGTCGTAGCGTGATGTTATATAGCCCACAGCCTTCCTCGATAACTGGACTATCCAACATAAAAAGAATTATTCAATTCGAACCAGTAGTTTCGGAGATTAGCGCTTTCAAACAAATAAACAAACAAACTCTTCAGCTTTATAATATTAGTATAGATTGTATTATGTAGGATGCCACGTGACAAAGACTATAGGTGTCACTGATAGGTACTGACCATATCTATGGTATGGCATGTTTCAATACATTTTATACATACATACATACATACATACATACATCTACCTTTGAGTAACTTCGATGGACACTCGCTCTAACTAGAAAATATATTAACAATTTCATAATAGAATAAGATAAATAGTTTCTTCGAACAAAAAATACGATTATTGCTCCTTAATCTAATAATGTTCATGAAAGAACGATTGACAATTTGAGAATAATTTTTAAATCTAAGATATATTTTATAATACATAGGTATTGTTACTGGACAAGTCAATAAAATGTAATGTTTGTATAAATCACGATGTAATTTGATTCCGCTGACATTATCAAAACAGTCATGCACCTCAATTTAGGTTACACAAGATAGACACATTGCATTCATTATAGGAGAATTATGATATATGATTCTATCACATATATAATGTACGTATATATATATTTTATTTAGAAGAAATATTGCAAGCAATTTTAAGGAAGATATCTTCAAGTGATTGAGTTAAAATTTTGCGTACAGAACGACATAAAAGACTTTCGCGAGTATTCATTTAAATAAAACAAATATTTTCGGATCTATTACTTGATTCGTGATCACCGTTGCTGGGAAGTAACCGAAACGTCAGCAGTATGTAGTTTAAAATTATAAGAAAGAAGTTTGGTTTTTGTTGACAAGTTCAGTTTGTATGAAAAACAGGTTTTGGTTGATTATGATGTTTTTACGAATCAAAAGTAGCGGGATATCCAATATGGTCTAATATGTAGTTTGTATATTACGTTTTATTATATACATTTACGCGTCATATAATAAATTTGAATATAAAAACTTTTCTATCAATAACAAGAACTGACTCGAACGTAAAAATATTTCGATTTAAAAAAAATACGAAACATTTATATTCTCTGTGTATCGAAGATTGACTTGTTACTTTGTCATGTTAATTCTTCATACAATTTATACAGTACCTAGCGTTAAATACTATTTGCATTTAAATGAATAATTAATTACAACTAAATGAATACTCTCTATTTTTAAAGTCGGTATAAAAATGACCAACATAGAAATCCTAATCAGAACCTTTAAGATATAATTCAGATAAAATCGCTATCAATGATAACTTTAAAAACAGGTCAATGACAATTTAAACAGATAAAGTTGTAGAGATATTGAGATTAAATACAATACTTTATACAATGGGGTTGATATTGTAATATTATGAAACGTTAAAAGCGGGAAATAAAGTAAGGAATAGGTCACAGAAGAGAGACATGGCTATTTAAATATTAATAATTGGCAATATATTATTAATTTGCAAAAATAATCGTAAATAAAGACAGAAAAATTTTAGAAACAAACATTAATATGATACCATTGTATGTTTGAATTAAATAAATTAATCTATTATAATGAAAACGTTGTAATAGTTTTAATAATGGAGACAATATGATTCTGAATAAGTAATTGTTTTGAGTTAAATATCTGTCCTATATAGAAGACTAGCTTTCCGCCTGCGCTTCGCCCGCGTCGAGTTCGGTTATATCACGTTTTCAAGAAAACTTATCAAAAGTCTGGGATAAAAAATATTAATTTTGTTTCTCAAGGTCAACTCTATCTCTGTACCAAATTTCATTAAAATCAGTTCAGTCTAGGCGTGACAGCGTAACAAACAGACAGACTTTCGCATTTATAATATTAGTAGGGAAGTAGGGATAGCTAAATATAGACGTTTTGAATAAACATAATATAGCCATGTATATATATATTAGTAAACAAACAAAGGACAAGCGTAAAGGCAACGTGACCAGAATTAAAAGGAAATTGAGTGCCGGAATCAATTGACAGAGCATTGGAAGACTTGCACATCGCATTATATATATACATACATAGTTATAGTGATGTCCGTTATACGTAGAATTTATACGATAATTATAAATGAATAATATGCTTACTACGAGTTGGCATTTTCTTACTATAAACGAAGCGTGCACAGTTTTTCATTTAACCCCGCATTATAATATTAATGAAAGTAATGCATACCTTTACTAAACACACTAATCTTTTAGAATTTAAGATATTAAAGATTCATATAGAATTTTATAGATAAATATCCATGAAACATTCTTAATTTTACACATATTTGCGAAAATCTGTAATTATGGCTACATATAGTGCATCTGTATTAAATCTCTATGAAATTGCAGAATAATTTAACTGTTTATATGTAATGAGGAGTTGATTTAAGAGTAGCATCTGATGTGTATAATTTATTAACAATATAAACAATAACTCACCAGCCGCGAGATACACTCCAGATAGCAAACTTCCAACCCACGCTACGGTGCCTTTACCCTCGCCGAAGTAAGTGACCAGTTCGGGGAGGAATATCCCGAAGGTGTATGCGATACCATCCACCACCAGGTTGCACATGAAGGAAGCGAAAACCACCACCCAGCCATAGCCACCATCTGGCGGTGGTGGCAGCTCTCCATAGTCGTAGGCTTCATCATCATCATCAGCTGCACCTTCCGCGGTCAAACGCGCAGCCTCTTCGCATGACGTCTCGCTTTCAGTCTACAAAAAATAAAAAATATACCTTTTCGTAATTTTTTTAGAGATTACTTCAGAGTTCTTTAAGGCCGTAACATAATATTGAGCTAATTAATCAAGACGTGCCGGATAAACGCGATTTCCTAAGCTACATCAAACAATATTATCATTGAAGGCTATCCTGACCAAATTTCCTTGATTATATTACATGCAAAATCTATTTTCCCAAATTCCTTGTTATATAAACGTTATTGCTTTTATTGCAAGCCTTCAACTCCAGTTATGTCCATTGGCCGGCTGTAATTTTCCAGTAGTTTATATTTGTCCATTAAATTAATGCCTCATGAAAAAGCATTAAAGTCGTCGGGATATTTCGGCGACTGAATACATCAACGAATTGATATAACCATAAAATTGTTTTATAGAAAATCTGTCTAGATTTTTTGATGGTATTTTACTTAATATGATTTTCCATAGAAAATCTTTATGTAAACTTAGTATGTTTTTTTTAGCCTCGTAATCAATCAGGGTCACTGTCAAAGGCAGTAGAGATCGCCTGAAGGTCACAGCGAGCACGTGGTGTGTTTGATAATAGTTCTTTGTGCTTGTAAAACACGTATCATAACAAGTTACGAATCATCAAATATTGTACTATAAAAAACTATACTTATAAACATAATAATAGATGAACAAAAATATATGGACACCTTCGATTTACTGGCATATTACTGTACAAAATATACAACTTCTAATGTTTTTGTATATAAATATTCAAATTATTTTAGTTACTATTTGATATCAAAATCGAATACAAGTACTACGTCCTTACCACAAGTTTAAAACCTCAAAGTAAACATATAGTTTTTAGTAATTAATTAGTACCCAAAGCCAAACTAGTAGTAGGGGTACTGCATATCAATAAATACCTCTAGTTAAGATAAGCATTATTTACGATAGGACAAACGTATAATTTCTTTGTCTCCATTCCATGTACGCGCAACCATTAACTACACAAGTAGCTATAATGAGATAGCATTCTCTCGTAAAACATAATTACTTTATATTATTTATATAATAATAAAGAAATACTATTTTTTATACCATTGAAATTTCTATTTATTAAAAAGAAACGTTAAGAACGTGACTTGTTTAATGAGATTACTCCTATGAGTAATACTGAGAGGATTAAACATACATACGTGTTGAACAAACCTCATTAAAACTATAAAATAAATAACTTTTTAAAAATAATTTTTAACAAAGAAAAAGCAACAACAATGTGTTGTTTAAGAAAACAGTAATTTTATACATTTTATGATACATAATCATATTGTTTTGTTTGAGATTAAAATATGTTGAAAATTTTAATGCATTTGTAAGACACTAATAAAACAAAAATAAAAAATATTAAGATCTTTATAATAAAGTTTCATCCAAATAAAGATTAAGAGTTTTATTGTTAGCAATTTTTTTGTTCATTTTACTTCTTTTTTGTCTTTTTTTCGTATTGGTAATCCCATTTCGCAAAAATAATTGCAACTGTTTGTATGAAATTTTATATTTTTCATAATTTTAACACATAAGACGCGAGAAAAAATATTGTATGTTTATTCAGTTGATACATTAGACTTAAATAAAACTTTGATATATACAGGGTGACTGGTGAGTTACTATTAATATTTAAGGAGAATACTCGGTACATGATTCTCATTCGAATTATGTAAAAAAAATAGGCACTTAATTTTTGACCAAATTTCCGTATAAATAAATAAAGTGTTGACACGTTCCAAGTGTTCCAAGTGTGGACGCGTGCGGCGGCGTGCTGATACAACACCACACCCCCGCTCGCGTATGTGTGAGTGTGTGTGTGTATACCTAATCTGTAGGGTGTTCACACGATGCGTAATTAATTACATAACTTTTGGTTAACTTTACTTAGAAGTTTATTAATATTTTTGTTATATTAATTTTTATTTTGTCATATATGATCGTCAAATATCACGTCCTCAAATATCGATAGTAATTCACCAGTCACCCTGTATAACATTCCTGAATAAATATCTATAAAAGATAATGAAAACAAAAAGATTACAAAATTCTATGTTATCGTAAGGAAAACCCAAAGATATGTTATTTAAGCGATCCTTTAAATGAAAATTAGCAGATATCAGATTATCTGGTGAATTGCAATTGCCTAATTACTGTGTGATAATGATTATTGAGTACAAAAGTCTATGGACTCTAATTATTATTTTAATTTAATGACGAAACTATACTAGTGCCATGTCAAGTACTATGAGTTAAAGTCAACGTAAAACTTTTTACTATGTTCCGTGTCGGCTCAATATTTGAAGTAAGCAAACCTACTGTGGAAAATTTAACTTGTGCAAACAGATACACGACAATTGTTTTTTAGAACATATTCATTGATATACTTAGTAACCGTAATTTTTTATTATTTAAATATAAATCTATAATTTAAATCTTATCATTGCCTAGTGATGAATTGAATAGATCAAAATTATCATAGCAATCACTATATTAGGATAAGGAATTTTTACTCCAAATACGATATCTTTTGATTTTTATAGAAAAACGATAAAAATACAGTTATTTTAGGATGTTTGTAGACAACCCCTACTAATATTATAAATTCGAAATTAACTGTCTGTCTGTGTGTTACGCTTTCACGCCTAAAATACTGAGCTGATTTTAATGAAATTTGATACAAAGATAGAGTAGACCTGGAGAAAGAACATAGGATAGTTTTTATCCAAGACTTTTGAAAGATTCTCTTGGAAACGCGATATAACCGAACTCCACGCGGGCGAAGCTGCGGGCGGAAAGCTAGTTTTTATTATAAAACCAATTTCCATAATGAACACAAGTTTATATTTGTATAGTGGGATTATTATCTAAGTCTTTGTCTTCGTATTGTTTGCGTCTCAATTCCGACCTTGCAAATGTTTACACTTGCCATACTGATTTATTTTCTTAACATCGTTGGATTATGATATAAATTATACACAAGTATTAAAGAGAAACAAAACTTTCATTTAGTGACGAAACTTACTTTAAAGACGAATTAGATGACGAAGTAATTAAAATAATTTATATTATTTATAGACACAAATCAAAATATCTACATATAAGAATACCTTGTATTTTTTTCCTCTGAAGGTGTATGTGTACTAGACCTTCCATACATTGATGACATTAATCTATTAAGATAAGTTAAACGATACTCGATACAGTAATCTGATACAGGAATCAGTATTACTAAAGCTGCATTCCAGGCACATTAAAAAAACCACAATATAATAGTTTCATATAAAATTATAATCGATAAATCTCTTCCTTCATTCTTTTATATACGGAAAATATACTTTGATACATCAATTAACTCAACCATAGAATTGAATAGAAGGAATTTCATAGTGACGTCACTCGTCAGCAGAATTTTCAGTATAATATTTGTTGTATTAATTATTTAATATGAAATCAGTGCATCAAAGTTTATTTTTATAACCAACAAACAGTACACATGACGAAGCAAATCTAAATAAAAGACAAAGGAGCGAGTTAAATGAACCTTTGATTTCAATGTACAAATATGAACAGTACACTTATGTTTTATTACTTTATATATAGATAATTTACGATAACACTACTTTGTTGCCGCGGCTTCGTTTCCGTATGAACTTGGAAATTGTGCTCATTTAGTATCATCATCATCAGCCTATCAACGCCCACTGCTGAGCAAGGCCTCTTTCTCACGTGGAGAAGGTTTGAGCATTAATCACCACGCTTGCTCAAGACGGGTTGGTGATTTCAAACTTATAATTGTGAAACTATAAGTCCAGGTTTCCTCACGATGTTTTCCTTCACCGTATGTCAGTGGTGTCTAAATACTCTCAGAAAGTACATATGACTCCGAAAAATCACATTGGTACTTGCCAGGTTTGAACCCGCGCCCTCGGCAACGAGAGGCGGACCCTTTAACCACTGAGCCACCACTGACTTTATTATGGATTTTATCATTTAGTATAGATTAAAACAATGACACGGTAGTCAACCATCAGCAATAAATTTATTTAGCCTATGCACTGTAACTGACCTCTGCTTGATATTTTTTAAGTTATACTATTTTTTATAATAAGCTTATACTTATATGTATACATGCCTTCAAGGGTTGACACAGTTTTTAGAACACCCTGTATACTGTTAATACAAAAATGAACTGTACGCGAACTACATGTACCTACTTCTGGGATGAATTATATGCTTTATTTTATTTTGATGTCTTAACTGCATTACTGTAATGGCTCATCAAAATCGGGTAAGTATTTTTTGCATGAAAATGCCACAAACATTCACATATCCTTAAGTGCTCACAAACGTTTGAATTTACAATATTAATATGACATATTTATATGAGTATTTTAAAACAATATTTGTCTTTAAAATTACCATTAGGTATTGATAAAACTTATACTTCATCACAATAATAAAATACGTGAAGAAAAAAAAATGTATTAATTTGGAAGTGAATTTTGAGAACGAATGCAAATAAAAAACTTATTTTCACAGAGTTTATATGGGTCAGAACTCAGAAGTGCACAAAATTATTTTCATATAAAATCTATTAGAAAAACACGAAATTATTTAAAACATTACGCACACTAGCATGAGTTTCACACACACACATATATATATTTAATAAGTCAAAACGTGAAGACATATCAATGTGTACATTGTCACTAGATGTTAAACATAATGACATTTCCATTGTAATAATCAATTAATTATGTTCGAGTACATACTGTTCGGCGATACTTAAGTAATAATGATTAAAAAACTGTATAAATTCATTAAAATTTTATTCCGTCATATGAAAAGGACCTGATAATTAAACCAATTAATTCCAGCATCCGTTTCTTGTCATCGTCATCTCGGAACGCGCACGCAAATGAATAATGCAAGGAAATCATTACGATCCATACGATATATTTCTCAATGAAACC